TGTCTTAGGTTCTTCTTGATCAATTTATTATTAGAGACTATGCTATTTTAATTTCTTTTTAATTAGTTTTGTATTTAATTTTTTTAATTTAATTTTGTATCATTTAAGTTCAAATAATTAAATTAAAAAATTCTTGGTAATTAGAAACAATTCTTGTGGGACAATATTTCACGAACTTATTTTAGAACATTTTATTACTTTTTGACGGGTATACTTGCCCATTAATAGAGGTCTATCATATTGTTCTCTAAATTAGGTATGTAGAACTTGCCTTTGACTTACTAAATTCATAGCTAATAAGTTTTGGATGAAACTTTCTTTTATTGAATTCCTTCTACATCCTATGCATTAAACTAAGAAGGAATTAATTGTTTCCTAAGGTCTAGTTTAACACAAATCCTAGTAAATCTACCTCTTAACAATAAAGAAGTATATGGATTAATCTTTAACATTGATATGAGGCAGGCACCAATGGCACCAACTTGCAACAAGAATTTTTTATTGTATAATTCCAAAGGTAAGTCTAGGATCCACACACAAACTGTTATTTTTATCAGATTATGGTCCTGAGACCTAAAAAGAGGTCTTCATCATTCAACCAGAAGATAATGATGTAGAATAAGTCAAGGTCCTTCAAAGAGGACATGCTTATAGTCATCCATATTTTTGAATTTAACTAAAATAAATTATTTAAATCTAAAATTTTTAGGAGACCATTTTCCCCAAAACTGTGACCTAGTTTTTGGTTCAAATAATTAAAACTCGTTGATTTACCTAATAGTTTGACTATTAAGGTGAATTTCCATAGTGAACACCATGCCTCATAATCACCCAAAGCAATTTTTAAGTCAAGATTTTGATTTACATTTTATTTATTATATAAGCTATCCTAGTATTAGACAAGGTATTAAAATAATCTAAAATGAATTTAACAATCTCCTCATCCCAAAAGACCAGATCTAGGTCTTTTGAGGTCAAGACCTTTTCTTTATGAGACATAGAATCAGCGGGAGTAAGGTTAGAAAACACTTGAATACCGTGGTTGCCTTGAAAACCTTCTTCTTGACTAACTCCTTGCAAATCTATGTTAAAACTATCAAGATCCACTCTCACATTTTTCTTGCTCTTACAAGTCAAATCTTCCTCTTCTAAAGAATGTTTCTCTGCCTCCAACCTAGAGTCTAAAGAATGTTTCTTTGCCTCCAACCTTTCCATCCTAGGTCTAGCAAGTCCTCACTTGTTTTTCAATAAAAGACTTTTTGAGAGACGCTTAGAATCTCTCAAAGGTGTGGCAGCGCCATGCATGCAAGGGAAACCCTAGTAGAGGTACAAAAACCTACTCTGTCTTCTCTCTTTGTGATATGAAAGTTAAGAGCATTTTTCAAAGTTCTTCAATTAAAATTTAATATTCAAAGTTATGTTTAATTACTATTAATTAATTAATTAATTAATTTTAATAATATTATAATTATTATATGTACCATATTGAGTAATTATATATTTTTTTAAAGTTACTCTAGTAATTTGTAAATTACATTACAATATCATTTATAATAAGTATAAAATAATTTATCTTGACATATTTAAAATGAGTATATATTATTTTTTAATCATAATTTTGAACTATAGTAAAAAATACACATATTAAATTAAAAATTAAATATAATACAAAATTATGATAAAATCAAAATTTATCAGAATTATCAAGTGTTAATTTAAAAAAATAAGTTTCTAAAATTATAAATTTATATTTTTATCTCAACCATTTACTTTAGATTTATGAATTTTTAATATATTTTTATAATATATAACAATTTTATCAAATATATTTATATATTGAAATTAATTTTTTAAATTAAAATAAATTTGTGCAACGAACAATCATATCTGTGCTGATCCTAATGCATGAAGTAATATTTAAAATTATATGATTTTTTATTAAATTGATTTTTTATTTTACTAGCATAGGTGACCATTTTTTAATGCATGTTGCTTAAGGATCCTTAAACTCTACGGTCTGTCTGGTCTCATCCTCTTTCACCGGTTTTTGTTTTAGATAATTCAAGAATCTTCATTTAATGATAAATCCATAATTCACCTAACATCCATGCCTTTTTCACAAAAAGTCTTTCTTGATTGTTCTCTTAAATGAATTATCATAATACTTTGCAGCAGGTCAGTTTATATTGAATCAGATGGAAGGGTTTAGATGAAAGGGGTGCTAACAGGTGGAAAAACTACAACAAAACAATTACCTGTTTTTCATATGAAAATTTGGCAGTTATGCTCTCGTGGACCATGCACACTTTCATTCTGTCTTCCCTGACCAGTTGATCCAAGACTCTTCTCACCTAACTTCAGGTCTGATGGCATTTTTGAAGGTGCTATAAACAAGCACTAACAAGAGTTACTAGCTTTCGTAATTCTGAAGTTCCTAAGAAGCGAGGACCTAGATATTCTTTTGCAGGAAGCCTGATTGCTTCAAATGCTATATCTGTTCTCTAAATTGATAAGGAACTAATTTTTTTCTTGTAATATTATTAAGAAAATAGAATGATTTATTTAGTCTAGAAAAGAGTTTGCATGTGTATGCAGGGAAGCATTGATTTTCTCTAATTAAAGGGTGAATGTGTAACTGAGGTGTGGGGATTGGAGTTGGTGAATGTCATATCTGTCTAATTCGTTTTATGGTGCAACAATAACATCTCTCTTTAATTTGTGTGCCAGTTGTCAAGAAAAATTCCATAGAAAAATATCATTTGAATTTAATTAACTTCATTTTTGCCATCCAAATATATATATCACATTTACACATGAGACAAATATAATTTCTCCTTTCTTTAAGACTTTGTTAAATAAATGCTTAGTATACTTTGATTACATCATACAAATAGATAAGCCTTTGTCTTTATTTTTAAATACATTTAATTTTCATTGAAAATAGAGTTATGAGCATAAATTTAGAACATTTATAAGGCATTATTGGTGTACCTAAATTCAATTGCAAATCACAACCAGCTAACTACACACATTATTTGCTGAGAAGTTTTATCAAGGCTTACTTTAGAATTGATTCTAGGTATAAAATCTATAAAATAGATCAATGTTAAAATCCTAAGAAGTTGAAATGAATAATGAAGGAACGTTAAAGTGAGAGTTAAGAGCGAGGAGACGTGGATGATTAATATAAAATGTAAAGCATAATAAAGAGATTTTTAAATTTTTTTCTTAAGACAAATCATTTGAATTTTTTTTATTTGACATAAAAATTATTTAATAAATTTTTTCAAAATTTTAATCCCTTTTTCATTATACAAATACATACAAGAATGTTAAAGTACTTTATTTAAATACAATTTAAACTTTGTTTGAAAATTTAGAAAAAGAGGAAAAGAAAAAATTTAAAGAATAAGAGAGGAGAAGAGAAGAGAAAGGAATGAAAGTTCATAAAAAAAGAATTCAAAATAAGAAAACTTAAAAATCACATTCTTTTGAAATTTTTTGAAGGGTTTATAAAATTTCTCTTTCTTATCTAAAAACTCTCAAATAAATATTATTTTTAAATAAATTTTTTCCTCCTCTCTTTTACTCTAAAAAATAACTCTCAAACAAAGACTTAAATTTTTCTATTATACATCTAAATAAATTTGATTTGTCTATCGTTATTTTAGAATATCATTCTTAAACTCAGTTAAAAAATTTAAATATTTCATTCTTTCAAAATTATTTTTTAACATTACTTTTAAAAAATATATATTTTTATCAAAATTTTATAATAAAAGAAAGACTTGTACTTTATTTGGAACAAAGGAATGAAGGTAAAAAGAAAATAAGAAAAAAATAGTAAAAAAAATAAAATATTTTTCTCTTCTTGAAAAGAAAATAATAATAATTAACGTGAATCTCAAAAATTATTTCCTAACAAAGCAAAGAAAATTTTACAAATATCAAATCATTATTATCCATATTTGTAAAAAGTTTGACCATTTTTGCTACCACCACATATTTCAATATGCAATATTTACAAAGAGGACTACCATATGTTTGACCATTTTTGCTACCATTGTCATATTTCAATATGCAATATTATGAACCACCATATATAACATCTTGTCATTGGGTAAAAAGCCATAATATATCAAGTAAGATATAACATCTTGTCATTGGATAAAAAGCCATAATATATCAAGTAAGATGTTTTTAGAATATCACTGATTTTAAGTGTTGAATGACTTAAGTTCCATTGCTATTTACGAAATAAACGATTCATTATCTAAAATTAAGCCTGAACAAGGAATGATATAGTAATTGATCTCAGTTAAGAAACCTTCACAAATGCCTTGAAAATGATTACACAAGCACTAATGTTTCTCTATCGCTTAAGACCCTTGAACCACCCTATTTCAAGGAAACAGAAAAGAGAAGTACAACTACTATGACATGAAAGTATAGCTAATTTATCTAATCTCTGGCCTACATAGAATAGCGACTATCTACAAATAATCCATCTAAAAACGGCACAATATCCCGTTCTCAAAATGATCCAAACAATCATTTCCAGTAGAGTTCAAACAATCCATTCAGTACTATTTTCTCTTGTTCCCGTGACTATCCATCAAAATGCATCAGAAGCTATGTATTCCTGCCACATTAGATAGTACATTGCAATTTTTTTCAATTTTAGTAGCTACAGCCAACTACTGTAGGTGCAAATACCATGGAATTAGTCACGGCCATAATTAGAACAAAATCGATTATTTTCTTTAAATAGTTTATTATTCTACAAAACAGATGCTAATAAATAAATAATTAATTAAGTAAAACATTAATATTTTCATTCTTTTCACTTTTCTTTATATCTAGACAAGAGGAATAAATTTAAACCATTTTCTCTCAATCAAAACTATAAATAAGTTTCTCTCTTTCATGGTATTTGCACCTACAGTAGTTGGCCGTAGCTACACTAGTGTCATACTTTGCTTGTCTTCTTGATGTTTCTCCAAGGATAAATTTAAATTTTTTAATTTCTTTCAAGAGTAAGGAGAAGGAAGGGAAGGGGTAAACATAGAGCTATACAAATGTTAATTTATCCCTTTACTAAATATTACTGTAGTTTTACAGATTCAGATGCTCAAAGAACCCATATTTCTTGGCATATCATACACTTAATCGAATACAAGGGACGGTTCTTCTGACATCTGAAAGCCAAATTTTCTCTGGATCTTGTTTGTTAGTTGACCCCTTTGGGATCAATTTCATGCTTGATAGAATATGTAGTACTAGATGAGATGAGAGGCCTGCCAACTTTCTCTGGCTTTGACCCATAATCCACCGAAGCTTTACATGGTGGTTGCATGCTTGAAGTAAAATTAAGACAATAAAATTTGACGGAAGCTTCTTCCTTCTTTTGTTTGAACAAAACTTTCAAAGCATCATTAGGCTGTAGTCCTTGCATGTCTTGACGATCCTTCATTAGACAACATCTCCACATCATCAAAATGTTGTATCATAGAGAAAAGCGAAAGAAATTAATAGCATACAAAATCCCATTAGCAAGATTTCCCAACGGGAATCACCACCCGCCAAAGCTGCACAGAATAAAGACAAAAGGAAGAATAAAAAACAAGTTTCAAGATCACACAGCAAGTTTCAGGTGATCAGAATTTGATCAACGTATTATGTTTATAAAAGAATCTGAATCATCAGATACAGCAACTGATGCTTTTAAGGTAAATAACAACTACTACTGCCTTAAACTACTTTAAAAGTAATTGACATACATGAAAGATGCCACAACTTTGCAACAACTGTCCTTCACAGATATACTACATTGTATACTCAATACTTCCCGATTTCGTATATAAATATTCTTATCAGATTCTCATTTTCCATACTCATTTTCAGATGAGGAGGCTAATCCGGATCTTAATCTTCTACTATTAAACCATAAAGTGTATCAGAATCATAAGAACTCAAGCGTTGGTTTAAGGACCTTTTCGATCTCAAGCAAAATAATTCTAACAAACAAAAAACCCTCTGTTTCCATATTAAACATTGTGCAAATAAAAAAACAAGTATATAAAAATACTATAAGTAACCATTCTACAGAAAAGATTAACAGCTACAAAAATAGAACAGAGATTTTTTAAGAGGATGCTTAAATAATATGTTGTCAGCATTACGTAAATCTTATCAGTTATTATCAGTTCAGTTCCATCTATAGCCAGGCATGAGAAACAGGAGAGTTCTAATTGGCCAGATAAACTTACATAAAGAAGATGGAGCAAGCAAATGAGACACCAATTTTTTAGAACTCCCTTGACCCTGGCGAAGCTTGGATCCATGTGACACCTCAGGCTCACCTACACGTGACACATCTGAAACCTCCTCAGTTGTCTGGCTGGCAGAATTAGAGGAAGGGGCAGCAGCAGGTGAATAATCTGGGGGAAATGATGGTCTAGAATATGATTTTGGCGAAGGAATTGGATGATGTACAGAGCCACTGTATGGACAGGGATCAGGAGGAATAGACGGTGAAGGTGAAAATACTTCACAGTCAATACAAGGAGGTTGCTTAGCAGTTGCTGGTGCTATTGGAGCATGATATGGCGAAACTGACGGCTCAGAGTGATCAATTAACTGTGGGGATGGAGCAGGAGAAGGTGAAGGTGAGGAAGCATGTAGTGTATCCTTCAGATAAGAAGATAACCTGATTTCTTTGACTCTGCCAAATACTGAGTTATCCAGACCAAGATTTTTTCCAGCAGAACCTGTTATTGTTTGAGCTAATTGTTTTAATCTTTGGGGCAAGAGGCTCCCAAAGCCTGGCATGACTGAAGCCTGCACTACTACTGGAGGAGCTATCGTTGAACCATTTGTATTTGTTATTTGCACATACACATTCTGCACAAAAAGTCACAGGGTGTTAGATAGTCCAATGCAAACAGTTTTAGCAGAAGCTTGCTATAGCAATCTGTGAATGGACTCAAATCCAACTTCTAACATTTTCCTGCTTGTAGGATAAGGTAGATTCAACGGGTTGACTTATGCATGTCATCAGTGGAATTTTGAATCCTCAAGGTATTAAACAAGGCAAACTATTTCAGTAAATTGTGCACAAGAAAAAAAAAAAAAAGAAGCTTAATTGTACTTTCAGTGCCTCTATTATGACCAATGTGTAATTATGGTCCTCAAATAATTTTGTAGGATGTGAGACTAGGGTTTTGAAAATGAGGAGAATTTTGGATTTTCTAATTTTGGGTACAATATGATGTCAAAAGCACACATTCAACAAAATAGAGGGACCTAACTTGCAAATGAGCCCACAATAGTACTAAATAGAAAATTTTGTGGTGATTAAATTCAATATGAGTCAGAGAAATCAGAAACAAATTACAACTTTTAAGGTTTTGAGTGAATTGACACTTATAAAACAAAAATTGTAACCCACAAAATAATAAGTGAATTGGTATATAAGACTACCTCATCAGAGTTTAGATGCAACCCAAACTTCAATTCATCCTTGAAGTCATCGAAGTTACCCAATACTTCAGATATTGAATTGTTAAGAGTAAAATTAAACAGAATCTCAGGTATCTGCCAAACAGATGCAGACTGCACTGGTATTACAGTTATCCCTCCAGGAAACTTCAAGATCTCAATTACAGATGCATTCCCAAATATTGATGTTGTCAAAGTCAGGTTGGATTGTTGGAGGAACAGTTCAATTAATGATGACCTCAGCACACTCAAGGACACTGGATTTATTGATGCATTCATTGGATCAGAGAGAACACCAAACACCACATCAGTACAGTTAGGTGTAATACTTTGATGCATGGATAGGATAGCCACCTGTTAAGAGCAAATAGCTTATAAGCCACTTTCCATGCCAAAACAGAATCTTAGGGAAAAAAATAATATAAGTATGGGAGAAACCTTTGTATTTGGCAGAGCTATTTCGCCATATATATCATACTCTAATGTTTCAATGTATGGAATAAGCTGTGAAACTGGTTTTTCCAGTCTGAAGGATGTCTGAACAGTAGCTGAAAATATTTTCAAGGAATATGCATGAATTCAGTAATGTTGCTTAGCTTAGATAAGAATTTTAATGGAGACCCAGTCTACAATGCAGACTATTAACAACAGAAAAATAATAGAAAAAGACAGTGATGCACAAATTTTTGAGTGACAGCTGAACAGACCACACATATTGCACAGAATAAATAATATGAACAACAAAAGGACTCATGTTGGAGGCAGTCACATGATGCTGAGCCATCAACGCATTGGTCTTGGACTTTAGTGAATTAAATTTTCCTTCCATGTTCAAATTCATGGAACCCTATTTCAGGGTTCCAACTAACTAGATATCCAAATACCTAAAGATAATCCTTGGTGACGAAGCATTGTTAGGCTATTTATGGCAGTGAGCAGCTGACTACAACATTTTCAAGTTCAATAAATATAATTATCTATTGAAATAATTCACATTAGTAACTACTTAAAAGGTTTTTTCATATAAAAAGAATTTGAAAAGATTAAAAAAAAAGAGTATCACAAATTACCCATATGATTGCCTGAAGGAAAGAAGAACAAAACAAACTGCTCATATTACAATATTCTCTTCCTGCGTAAGGGCCATCATGCTGATGAGTCTGCCATTAAGTTAACCACTTACTGATAATTTAAAACTTTATTAAAATAATAAATCTCCAATTCTAAACAACATTAATGCATACTTCCATATATGCTAGTTCTACATGCATACTTTTAAGTTTTTACACACAAGAACCCACAGCAATCAGCATTTTTACTTTTTAGGTCTTGAGCCAATAAAAGTGATAAATATACAAACTTTCACCACAATTCATTGGTTATGCATATCAAGTTAGCATACTACGGAAGTCAAATCCATGACAATAGCGACACACATAATCTACAAGACAAAACCGGATATTGATATCAGATGCTATCAAATCATTGCACCTCTGAAAATCAATGCTTTAATTGGACTGAACATTAGTAATAGTTTGATAGTTATTCACGCGGCTCCTCTTACTCTTACCATGAATCATCAAATAATTTTTGTTGACATAACTTTAGCCCAAAATCTATCCCCTCCCCAAAAATTAATTGAATCCCTACATTTGTATTTCCAAAACATTAGACAAAATTGATCACGAACATCAGACTCAGACTAACCACTGCACACCTACCTGCCAGAGGCAGTAGAAATATAATCCCTCAATTGAAAAATATATATACAGCAATTCATTCAAAACATCACAGAATCTAATATTGAGAAATATCAAAACAATCAAAAACCGATTTCTTCACAACCCAAATTCGGCATAAGTATCACACCCCAGACGACTGATATCAAACAAAACATAAAAAAGATTAAATTTTTAACCAGGCAATAACTAAAACAAGAAAATTAAAATACCAGCATGTAAAATTTTTAAAATTCCCCAGATGCCAGGCAAACCCAAACCACCGACAAGAAAATTGTTGAAATAAAGTACTAGTGTGTATGAGAGACTAACCACTTTGCTTAATTACATCTTTTGCATCAAAGCTATATGTGATGGTGTATCTGGGAAGAACCCAAAAGAGTGCCGAAAGCAAAGCTGACAAACTGAGGATGAGAAGAAAGAGACACTTGAAACTGAATGCTCGCAGGAGCACCGAACAACGCAGACGCTCAACCTCACCCCCACCACTCTGTCCTTCTTCTTGCACATGTTGCTGTTGCTCATTTTTCCCCATTTCCTAAGCATCTGGAATCACCAACACTCCCTCTTTTCTCTCTCTCTCACTAACACAACACAATTTCTAAATATTTCAACAAAAATAAGAGGAAGAGGCTTAAGCTGCCATGGGATTGGTGGCCGTGCCTCTCTCTCTCTCTCTCTCCAGAAGAACCCACTTTAATCTGTACACTCTTTCTTAACTGTAATCTATACTTGTAAATGTTAACCCTCTCTCTTTAATTTTTCTTTTATAATTTTTTTTATTAGGGTTAACTTTTAGGCTACCGAACGTTGAGGAGAAGCAAAGGTGAAAAAGAAAGGAAAGGAGTATAAGAGCATAAAGCCAAGGGAATATGTTATGAGCATTTTATTATCATTATCGTCCTGGATAAATTTTAAAAGAAAAAATAATTAATTAAATAATGGTTTTCGTTAAATGAGTTTAAAATTCATTACGTAAATATTCATAAAAAGCAAATTGCGTTATTAAATGAATAAATTTGAAAGAACGCCAACTGGCACACGGTTACTCTTTGTTAAAAAAAAAGTGGTATGGAAATTTTACTAAAATGATTAACACTATTTGCTTGTGATTTGCAATTTTGAATTCACATGTAGTGCAAATAAATATACAATAACGTATTAGTTTTGATGAATTGAACATAAAATAGAATTTGAGTTTGCTTTCTTTTTCTTTGTGGTTAGAGTTATTGAATTAATAATCATATTTTGAGTGCATAATGTATCTTTTTACGCGGGATGCTTTTGTGAAGAAGAAGCTAAGGAATTGACTAATGAAGAGGAAGCACGTGGGCCATTGAGAAGTGGGGAATTATTTATTTTCCTTTGCAAACCAATGAGAGTAATGATATGTGCTGGTTGTAATTGTCAGAGGCAAAGATCGCACAGCAAACAGCTTGTGTTATTTGGATTGGCCAGCGCTTTCCACTTGGAAATATTATCATGCTTATTCATTGCTGGTTAAAAGTTCATTTCTAGTCAAGCCAAGCCATCTACTATCTTGCACTATTACTATTTTTAAACATTATATCAATACTGCTTCATCTACATCTATTCAATTGTTTTACTTTACTCTTTAACCGCATACCCGCCTCTATAGTTATATTCATGTATATTTAATTTCATTGGGGATTATTTTTTAATATTATTAATTGTTTATATTTAATATGACATTAATTTATGCATATCGATAAATTATTATATACTTTTGAATTAAAGATATTTTAAAAATATTTTACATAATTAAATTTGACTCGAATAATTAATTTTGAAATAAAATTGTCTATAAAAGACAATTAATGATGCATATGTATTTTCGACTCACATCAATATAATTTAATTCATTTCTATATTTTAAAAAGTATTTCTTAAAATATTAAAAATAAAAACATTTAATTAAAAATTAGATGAACATACAAAAATATAAATGTGTATTGTGATAAAGTGGATTAAGTTTATAAAATTTATATAATTTAAAAATTAATTAATATTTCAATCCACTATTTTGTTTTAATGAATAATATGCTAACTAACTATAAGTAAATATATGTTGTCTGATTAAATGTTTGTAAAAATCAAAATCATCTAAAAATTGTTATGCATTCTTATTAATATAATAATATTTGATATTTATATTGATAAAGTTCATATTTTGTGTATAGATATTAAATGTATTGATATATAAAAATTGATGTGAAGTGCTTATTATTTGTGTGCGTAGATAAATAGAGAGAGAACCAAACTCCTAATCATTGTATTTCATGTAAGATTTAATATTATGAATGGATTTCTTCTATTTTCTTAGCAAGTAGCCATATTTGCTGTTATTTTATTAATTTTTCATCGGACTAATAGACTTCTTATATATATTAAAACGTAAAAAAGTTAATTTACCAATAAAAACAATTTATTTAATTATTTAATAATTTCATTTCAAAAGCATTAACAATAATTTTGTATAAAGGTTATTAAAATATTTTCAGAAATTTAATTTAAAAGAAAAGGTGTAATTTTCTTTGTTATTGTGAGATTTTATTTATCCACCTCTTGAAGAGGTCCAAGTATAGCATATGTAGTGCATTAATTAGTGCTGTCTTTGGAGATCTAACACAGCTCGTTGCATTTAGTCTTACCTTTGTTTTTTTTTATAAATCCACGATATAACTCATAAACTCATTTAACTTAAAGTAATAATAAAAACTTCTGTCCACTAAATTAGAGATAAGAACAAAGCCAACGAGCTCTCGTGATAACATGGAATCTTGTAATTAAGAAGCAGAAAGATAACCAAAAAAGTGTAGCATAACTCACATTCCATTAGGATATGGTTGGTACCCTTTTTCTCTCAAACTAAAGTAACGACAACTGCATTGAGAAATAGAAAAATGTTACTGATGCAAATTCATCTTTTTTGTCCAATAATAAACTTTTTCTTGCCAACGGTGTAAAATAATCTAATTTTAGATGAACAACAAAGTCATTTATTTTATTTTATATTTACAAAGAAACACATCAACAAATCTAGTTTTTTTGTCATTTTATTTTTATTTTATTACATATTTTTAATATATATATATATATATATATATATATATATATATAACTCATTAGATCTAAGTTAAATAAAAATTTTAAATTAAGTGTAATAATTTTTAAACTTATATTCACATGAAAGCATCTTTATACATTGAAAAATTAAACAAAAATTTAAAAAGATTCTTAAAACTAAACTGTTTCTAATTATTTCATTTTTATTTTTAAACCAAAAATTTACATAATAACTTTAAATAAAACATGCAAAAATTGAGTTTTATTTTGAATTTGATTGGTTGCATCCACTTTTTTAAGTCAGTCTAGTATAAGGAGTTTAATGTGTAATTATATATTATATCTCATATACGACTGAGCACGTGTTTCAGTATAGTTAGTACAAAATTATTTTACATTAATCGGTGGTTTTATGTAAATTGATTTGAAGAATATATATATTAGCGAATACAATTTTCTTCATTTTATTAATTGGAAAAGAAATCATCAAAGGAAAAAGGATTTTGATAGCCTTACTTGATTGAAAATATATAGCAAGCTTTATTATTGTTTATTATGATAAAATTTGCGAAAATTTACATGTTTATCGCTAACTAGTTGAATTATGTTAAATAATTTTAAAAATATAAAATATTATAGTAATATAATTGTAGAATTAAAAATGTATACTTTTATTTATGTATTTATTTACTGTTAATCTTTTAATTAAATATTTATAATTATTATTTTTATTTTTTATTAAAGATAATCTTATTTAAGTTGAGTAAGATCACAACAAGTGAGAAAATTTCCTTATTTAACATTTTACATTCGCTGGGACTAAAGAATTGAAAGAATATTTATAATTTTTAAAATTAATTAATATGATTATAATTACAAAAAACAAATCAAGAAATAAAGTTAATCAAACTAAAGAATTGAAAGGATAAATAGAAAAATAAAAAAAATTTATCTGATTGTATCAAATTTTTATTTCATTTTTTTAAAAACCGGAATCCAATATTTATGTAGATTTTAAGATATTTTATACCCAAATAGTTAAAAGATTATCCGCATTTAATTACTTTAAGTAAACTTTATCATTATACTTTTTCGTCACACCCTATCTAAGAGTCTCGTAATAACACCATGTCATCTACACATGGATTTTGCCATTTGCTGCTGAAGTTTTTTTTTGTTGGTCAAGTGAGTTGCTTGGTGTTTATATGGGTTAGGTTATCTTTTAAGCTACGAGGGAAAACAAAAGGAAAGAATATGTGCATGCCTTTTAAATATAAAGAGGAAGAAAATAAAAAAAACTGATCCAATACTAAATTTAAATGAAATTGTTTCTTTTTTGTGAAATTGTTGAATTTAAATAAAGGGTAGTGTTTTATATTTCTTCATAAATGAAAGATGAACCATTTTCTGCGAAACCTCATTTTTGAAAAGGAAATTAGTTAGACAAAGAAAGTTTAAAAATTGATTTTAAGATGAAATAGAGACAACAACCGTATCAAATATTAGGTACAGAACATCGGATATACCAATTGGCCAGTTGTATTGAATAAACCATAAATAATATAATATTTATTTTGATAAGAACTGGAGACAATAGAGGGAACTGGTCGATAAAAAAGAAAGAAAAAAAGAAACACAAAGATAGAGAGATTTATGATGAAATCCGAAGAAAATCTCCTTAGAAAAATGTTTTTCAAAATCATAAATCATACAAACCCTCGATTTAAATATTATTGCATTTTGATCAATTTTAAAACTATGCACATTATGGAATCAAAAGAAGACTACGTCATACAACATAATTTACTAAGAACTAAGATACGTTATTGTTCTTACTTCATGTATTATACTCAAATATTTTTTAAATTAAAATAAAATACATGTCGTAAATTAAAATAAAACGTAGAACTATTAAAACACTACATAATTAGTTCAAATGAAAGAAAAACAGAATATATGAATAAAATTAATTTTAAAAAATGAATTAAAAATAAAAACATTATTGAGTTTTTTTCTATAATGGAAAGTATATTAAGAAGTTAATCACTCTAAAAAAAATAATTTTTTAACGCATTAGGATAAATCGATTGCGAATTGCTGTTGTCTTCTTGTTGTTATTATTAGGAAATTGGCATTATGATGATTATTTATATGGCTATTAATGTACAAGGATAATAAAAAGTAGGGAAAAACAGTAAAGGGTGTTAGAAACGTGTGGCTTTTGTGAAGGGGGTGCACAAGAAACCGGAGTTTGGTGCAACACCGTGAGAAAACAAAATTTAAGAAGCACCCAACAACCAAGAATTTGATAGTACGTAGCAACTTTCATGGTGGTTGGATTGTTGACATATGCTTGTCCTCTCCTAACAAGGTAGCAACTCGGGCTGATAATGGACATACATTTGTAATTACCTGTTTCCTTCACATTTATGTTTGTTAAATGAACCATTGTTTTGTGCAAAACATTTTTCTTCTCTCTCTCTCTCTCTATTCTTTTTAGTAGTCACGGTTTCCTTATGAAGGTGTTCATATTCGTATACATTAATCATGTGGAATCGGTATATGATAATATTGGTCAATTTAAAAAATCAACACGGTAAAACAAAAACAAATTAGACAAATCGATGTGCTGTTTAAGTTAATAAGGATTTCGCAGGTGTAAATGCATATAGATATGGGATTGAATTTGATTTGAGTGCGTAGATTGGTATATAATGATTTGTTATGATAAAATATGAAAAGTAAAACTTCTTGTAAATAAAGAATAAAACTATTATTAGCAAAAAAACAAAAAAAGAAGAAGAATAAAGCTATTTAACGCAATAACGTTTAATTTAAATTTACATTATCGATATAAATTTTTTAATATTGTTAGCTAATTAATAATTACTGAAGACATAATTTTTGAAGTAATTATTTTTAAAAAATAATTATTAATGATATCACAATCTATAATTAGACGATACTGTAAAGTATATATTATCTATATATTTTAATTACATTCTAATTTTTATAAGAAATAGCTCTTAATGTGCACTTGTGCAGGCTCGTGTTATTTTTATGTATTTATATTTTTTTAATTAAATTTAAACTCTCTCAGGTTAAGCATTTGTTAAAATAAAATAAAGTGTAATATTAAATGTGAAATTTTATGAAAGTAAATTGTATAATATTAAAATGGGTAATTTATATTCTTACTAAAATGTTGAGCATAAATATATTAGAAACAAATAGTAAATTTTAAAGTATAAAATTAAACATTACTTTAAATAATATCTAATAAAAGCATTATAATCTAATAAAATAAATTTATTTATTAAGCATCTCTGTCTTAATCAAACAAATTTATAAATTGATTAAATAATGGAAAAGATAATAAAAATAACAAACTTAACAATTTCTAAGTCCATGAAAAACCTTTTAAACTAATCTATGGCAATTGGCAAGTTACGTGACACATTGTTTTGCAAAAGAATAGAGGGAACACAAATACTGGAAGGACAGAAACGTGGGCCGGATCACTAGGCCCATCAAATGGATTGGCCCATCAGTTTCGGTATAAATTATTTGGGCCACTACAGTTCCACACGCATGAATTACCGTTAAAAGAATGTCATAAACTTTAATTAACTGAACTCAATTATTTATTTTTCATGAACGTTCTGTGGTGAAATATTTTTTTAGGTACAATGAAGATTTTACAAGTCGAGGTCATTTTCCTAGTGGTTCTCAGTAACACATAAAAGTCGTTAATATAGTTACATTGTGTTCCGACGACCAATTATAATGGTTAGCAGTGCATTTGCATTACCCATCTCTCGATGGCTCTCTCCACTCCCACTGCTACCACTTTGCCATTCAAATGTATAATTGATTCTCACCCTTCAAATCTAAACCCTTTTTTCTTATCCACACGACCAAAATTCAACAACACCCACAACATATTACACGTAGCTGATTCTGGGAAGTGGAGGAACATGGTTTCATTTTTCCCAGGTTTTCTCACTAGAGGCAAAGATGTAATTGAGAGCCTCAAGGTGGAACTTTATGAAACAATTGCACCTCTTGACCGAGGCGCCGAGGCTACTCCTGAGGATCAACAACGTGTGGACCAGGTTAAAGTGAAGAAGCAAACAATAACATGTTTCATAAGTTAAGTGACTTTGTTTCGCTCTCTTTTTTGGTTTCCTTATTTTGTGATTTTAACTGGGTCTTATCTAGATTGCTCGTAAGCTTGAAGCTTTGAATCCTATTAAGGAGCCTCTCAAGTCTGATTTGCTCAATGGGAAATGGGAGCTTTTATATACAACATCTCAATCAATTCTGCAAACACAGGTTTGTCTATGATGTTACTTTTGGGGTTTACAAATTTAGATTCCTTTTACACGTTCTTTGATATCCAAATAAAGGTTTCATGACTTTTATACGTGGTCTAGATTCTGATAGCACTGATGATAAAGGCAATTTTGTTTTAAGTATAATCAACACCCTCATCAAAATATGGTAATTAGCTGCGTTTCCGAAATTGAACCTACACTCTAGCTTAGTTTTTTCGGACTTGAAATTGTGAATTAGGAGATCACTCATTGTTGTTGTCCATAGGTTTGAATTTTTAATTCCCTATCAACGTACCTGAGGACAATTTTGTTGGTTGGGATTCTTCCTTTTTTTTTTCCTTCTCTTATTGCGATGTGATTGATATTGTAGTATCGTTCCCAAGTTTATTCATTCACCTTATTCAGTGAGAATTAATTATTGTATTAACTATCCCAGAGACCAAAATTCTTGCGACCAAATGGAAAGATCTATCAGGCAATTAATGTGGATACCTTGAGAGCTCAAAATATAGAAACTTGGCCGTTCTACAACCAGGTACTATGTACACAGTTCTCAGTTTTAATTTTAAATATCTGTTTACGTGGTTTGAAACATAGACAAGGCTATTCTCTTCTAGACTTCAGCTATTATTCTTGTAACCAGGTTCATGAAGTATATCTACTGTTCACAGTAGTTGAAGAGAAACTTAATATCGAAAAAGACTTTTAATTAACATTCCGAAAGCAAGCTCAGTTCAGGGCTTTCTTGTGTACATTTTGTAAATCTATGTGGTTAAAATAGGAATCAAAACTGGCCTATATGTGAGCAGTTCACATTTCACAGTACCTTAGAAGAATTCAAGAAACCTTGGTGGATTTCATGGTGCCTTTTCATTTTGGGCTTAGATTTAAGAGGAGAGATTTCAAATCTCAATAAAATGTTTTAACTTTTAAATACTGTTTTGGTCCGTTCAGTTCAAAGCTTAAGCTTTTTATTTCAACTCATTCAACTATGAAGGTGTATCATATATGTCGCATGGCTTGTAATAAGATGTCTTAGGGATCATATACTAATTCTTTGATAAACAAATCCAATTAACTGTATAAGTTGTAGAAGCTAAACAAGTGATTCCCACTTACCAGTAATTTTGTTTTTTTTTAATTTCATTAAATTCACAATGCTCTGACCCGTAAAAATTGCCACTATTACTGCAGGCCACTGCCAATTTAGTGCCTCTTAACTCAAGAAGGGTAGCTGTCAAGTTCGACTTCTTCAAGATTGCTAATCTGGTAGGTGATAAACTGCTCACAATTACATTTCATATTTGGTCTATTTGTCATACTAAGAATAAAAAATTGTTTAAAACTCAGAACTACTTTTTTAATCATGAACTTAAAACTGAAGAGTATCAGAGTTGAGCATAGATGTAACCTCTAATTATTTATTATACCTGAAAATATATAATGATGAGAGTGTTTATTCCAGTTCCCGACCAGTTATTCGGTAGCTTAGACTAATAGTAATCATTCAGGCAGAAAACTTAATCCAGTTATTCTACAATCTAATCAGATTTAAAAGATCATAGACTCATATAGAAGAATATTCTGACTGAAGACTTGTACAGTAGTGAGATACTCTTCGAACATTCATACCACCATGATGTATCTTTATTTATTTATTGTTCATCTTGTTTTTTTCTTTAGCAATTCACCAACTTTAAATGAGACTATTATGCTACAGATACCTATTAAATCACCTGGGAGTGGTCGTGGCCAGTTGGAAGTTTCTTATTTGGATGAAGATTTGCGGTAAGTCACTGACTTTATAGATTATATTGTCCCCGTCTCACGTGCTTATACCTAATTTTTTTCTGGAGTTCAACATTAATTGTATTTTTAAATTAATCGGATACGGATATGGTTAAATACTTGGTTTGTCAATCATAAGTACACATACAAAATCAAACTAATAAATTACAGTAACTCATACAAGACAAGAATTCGAATTCCATTCTGACTTTAAGTCTGAATTTCTTCCTTGTGCCTGAACCTAACAGAATATCAAGAGGCAATAGAGGTAACTTGTTCATCTTGAAAATGGTGGATACATCTTATAGAGTTCCTCTTTGATGTGGGTTCTCCAAGAATCGTTAGTAGTGGCTTCAATTATACTTTTGGCAAGAATTAATGCTACTACTCAGCCAAATTTCCAGTCAAGAAGTGGTCCAAGTCTGTCTGCCTAGAAACTCTCTCCGTTTATGTTGGATATTGTATAAATTTTTCAGTTACAATTTAAAAACATTCACGTAAATTAATCAATACAACTTATGTAACTTGCATATTTTAGAATATAAAAAGCGCTATATCAAGTATACATTAAATTTAATTTGAGGTAAAGACTATATTTGATAACATTTAAATATGTATTTTCTTTGAATACTGTGCTTTCGTTTATTTGTTTTCAAATATAATCCGTCGCATGTATTTTTCCCCTATCAAGTTCAAATTCGATACCGCTCGTAAAACACTTCAATTAATTAAATCCATGTAAAAATTGCCAAGAAGGATTGTAATAATATCTTGCCGATGGATAACAGTTTATTAACGAAATAGAGCAGAGGTATTGCATCTTCATAATATAATACGCATTGATTTCCTTAATGATTTCAAAATATTGCATGTAAAGTTCACTTCTGCTACACTAATCAATGTGAAGAAAAATAACAAGTTTGACAACAAAAAAAAGTATTCAGTTGAAACCATATCTAATATATGGCATTTTTTTTCTGTAAACATTATAGTTGATTTAAATTTTGCTGAAAATAATTTACTAACGATTTCTATAACCTTTCAATTAAATTTGTATTGTTCTCAGTTCATTTGTTTTGGACAAGTATTTCACGTACACCAAATAATTGTCGGTTAGAGTGAAAGTAATAAGCAAACAATGTAAATTTCACCTTCAATGTCAAAGACTTGAAATCTTGAAATTGTCATTTTAAAAAATCACTCTCAGTTTGAGAGTTAATCTCACATTCATGTTAATAGAAATACTCCTGTCAATTTGTTTTTTTACAAAAGAACAAGTTAATGTGACGGAAAACCATACAACTACCAAACTAAAAATTTAAGAATATGCGATTTTCATATCACAATAAACAATGTACAATCTCCTACGTGTAAAACCAAAATAAGAAATTTACCTATGTGCATAGAAGCTGCTAAACTTGGAGACAGAACATCATTAGACACGCACGCACCAATTACAACAATGTGGAGTTTTGATCAAACAAGCTCAGAAGCAACCCAAGCAACGGGACGAGGTTCATTCGTGGGAGGTTGTGGATGGTCGACGTGTCTCCACTGATAATTTTTTATGACCAAAATGAAAAGAACAAAAGAAGCCGCAGGAATGCGAAGGGAGTTTTGTGCAGCCAATCCCAAGTGCAACGTTAACGTGACAGTGGCTTCAAGGAGAGAATAGTGATGACCAGGTTCAAGCAAATTTATTATACTAAGCGCATCAACGGTTAGAAGACACCGCGTTACCAACCCCGCGAGTTTAGAGAACAACACTTCACCATCACTACGATTTAGGGCAGGTGCAGCAATGACTATCACTGCATGCTCCTCTACGATTCCCATGATGAGAAAGACCACCAAAAGCCTAACCAGATATTCTCCAAGAGATTTCAGGATGTAATGGTACCTGTACCTCTCGAATGCGACGGAGAAGAAGCTGAAAAACAAAAGGAAAATCAAGCAAAACGTGTGTATACCGAATGCACTCGCTAATTAAGAAAAGCTGAGTACGGGCTTCATGAAAGAAAGTGTGATGATCACCGCCATAGATGTATGAGTTGTAAAGGTTTGTTTGAGTGAATAAACCGTAGGCTAAAAAGAAACTTGTCTGGCTCATACAGAAATGAAATATGCGCTTGGGGTCACCAGAGGGTACACGTTTTGGGTAAACCATATGTGGAAAGGTGTGGATGAGGTGTTCTTGTGATGGGCATAACCGCACCAATGGCACCTGAAACTCGTTTCGATGGTGTTGGGAGTCACTGTTTCCAAGGTTGTCACAAGGAGGAATGCTTGTAGGATCCATCTGCGCTTCACACTTCATTTGTTACTGTTGAATGAGGAATCACAATTCACAACTCTCTCTTAGATTAATATATTAAGTATTTGATTTTCTTTGTATTTAATGACGTCCAGCATTAATTAAGCAACGGACAAGTCAGAATGTTTTCCTTCATAAATAATATCTCAATCACTTTATAAAATGTAAAGTAAGGAATGAGAATGTATAATTAATTCTTTTTTTCCCCCTAATGTAAGAATCAGTCTTTCTTTTATTTCGGTCAACGAGAATGCAGTCTTAGAGGCCCTCGGCTTATAGCCCACGGTGGGATGGGGGTTGTCAGCTTTTACTTTTTGCACCTTTCTACTCTTAATTTTTTTAAAAACACTCCTCGTCGTGATAATAGAAAAATCTTCCTAAACTAATACAAGGATCGACGAATATCTCCTCAAGATTTTTTAGTATAATTTAGTGATAGAACATTAAAAAATAAATATATTTTGTTAGTATAGATAGTTCTAATCAATTCATTTAAGTTATTTTTTTACTTTATAATTATAAACTTATACAGTCTTTAGATTTCTCTTATTCTGATTTATGTTCGATTCATTTATATGTCTTTTATCGCTGGAAGCCTATTAAGAGTGCTCCTTGTCCATGCCACATTACACTAGTGATTACTCCCTACCCTTATCAGCGCTTGAATGTCACATGCTCACTAACTTACGCTTAATTTGTCTTCAAACTACCAGACCATATTAGGAGAGACCTTGCTCTTATACCATTTTGTAACATCCTTAATTTATATTATGATAAATAAAATTTTATAGTGAATAAAAAAAATTTAAAATAAAATTCTGTATATTTTTTTCTTAGAGATTTGAATAAAGAGGAAAATTAAAAACAAATTTTTTTATCTTATCCTATGAAAAGCCAAAGGTAATTAACAATTTAAAAGGAATAATTTCAAAACATTGAGATTGAGAATAGAAATTAAAATATACATCTCTATGATTCATCTAATTTAAAATATGTACATATAAATTCATAATATAAATTATGCTGCCTTTCAACAGAGTAAATTTTTTATCTAAAATTTAATGTAACTAAATCAAATGACCAACTGCTAGTCTACTAATATTACAAATACTTCAAATCAATAATTACAAGATTATTGGGTATTATAAATTTTACAATTGTATCAAAATATTTACATATCTTTATCAATTTAAAATTGAAGCTAACTAAAAATATTACAATCTTCAGAATAATTAAATTCTAGCTGAACAGTCTTTCCTACAACTTCACCAAAGATATGATCCTAGAACGGATTAACCTTCTTTCATTCTTCAATTTTATTTCCTAGAAAATAATTTGTAAATGTGAGTATTTCTATCCCACTAATTCCTTTATTTATTATCAATAATTCAAAATAAAATAGGAAATAATTTAGTGCCTAATACAGTAAATAGTATTAGTTCTAACTTTATATTAATAAAATCACAGTAGCCATAATTGTATCATTCATACTTTAAATCACATAATATACACTGAGATAATATCAATTCATATATTACATTAACTAGTATTACAACAGTTCAAACACACTATTAATCACTTCATGTCACATATTCTCACATCGAGTAGTATGTCATAATATGTGCGTTATAACCATATTAATTAATGCATTACAATACATACATTATAATTACACCCGTCGATGTATTACAATACATGTATTATAATCACACCAATCAATCCGTTATGTCTCACCTATTACAAACACACATTTCACAACTCCATAGCCATTGCCTTTGGGACCTCTTAAGGTCTTACATAAGTATAAATAGTAGTTGGCTAGCCCGAACAACACGAATACAATGTGTATTCCCTTGACCCCTTTTAGCAAAAATATAGTTAGGAATTTAGTCAGAAAATGAGTGTGTGGCCTATGAATGCTTTTACTTTCAGCAAATCATTGTGCACCCACTTACAAATAGCATTCACCACCCTCATTTCTTCAAGATTTCCCAAATCTTATCCAAACTCTATACTCTCAGTGTATCTCTGTAACTATCTATAACATGTATAAACATTTCTCATGACACTTACTTTCTCAGCATTTCACATAACATACAATTTATTAGCATTTCTCTTCCACTTTGATAATATAAACAACTTTAATTTTTTTATGCACTTTCATTCACATTAGCCCTCTATTAATAAATTTTACTAATAAAATATTTCATCATCTGAAGGCAATCATATACTTTTCATAAATTTTTAACATGCATAAATTATCAGGCAAAGACTCACACTCATTGTATCATGTCAGATTAATACAAAGAAATCATCAACTAATTTCACATCATTCAAGTCAATAAAATGTGCCAGAGGTTGGACACTTTCGGATTCAGACCAGTCATATTGTATAAAAATACCTTGCTGGAGATCACACTCTCTCGGTCTTAATAAAATCTTCGATCCTAAAGTTTAGCATCATTCAATATTCACAGTATATCTATCATCCAAATATCATATAGCAAATCTTAACTATACATGAATAATGTTCAATAATAAATCGTACTACTTCTAAAAATGATTTTGCTCAGAGTTTTACTATAAGATTGTATTTAGATAGTTCTAAAAGCAGTTATGGATTTTTCATATCTAAAATCTTTATTTTTACACTTGAGAATTTAAGAAAATATTGAGATTCTATGGTTCTAATAGAAAAACTTAGTACTTTCAAATCAAAATACCTAAATAGGAGTTTTGGTTTGGGATCAATTCCCTTACCTAGAAACAGGTCTCTAAGACTACTTTCTATGCGAGATCTACAGAGAAACACAACATTTTAATATGTGTTGCTACCCAAGACCAAGATTCTTCCTAAAGAGCACTTTTAGCTAGCGTTTGGATACCGTCCCTGAACAATGGAGACAATGAAGGACAAAGACACTAATGTTTATGTTTGTGTATTGTGTTTGGAAGTGAGGATAAGATGTTGTGTATTGTGTCTTGTATTATGTTTGAATGTAAGAGACAAAACACAAAAAAAAACATGAAATGACTATCCTACCTATAATAAACCTAAACCTATCTTGTCCTGTTGGTTCTTGTGAAATGAGAATGCCTCTAAACGACTGGGGTTCTTCATCTTAGTCATCACTTTGCTTCTTCATCGTCTTGGTTCCTGTCAGTCGTCGCCTCCAAATCTTCGTTGTCGCAGTCATGTTGTGCTTGCCTTCCTTGCGTTGCCATCGTTGTGTAACTCATCATAGGGTCAAGGTAAACTATTAGATCAG